TTAGTTGAGCTTCCTGCTTCCCATGCTAATTAGTCCCTACTTTCCATGTAAATTAGCACCCATGCTCTTTACAGGTGTGTGTGGGGGCAAGGCTTATCACTCTTGATCGGCCTCTTCAAGGTGCAGGACTATTGACTTGTTATGTAAAAACGGGAGTTTGGTACAAAGGCAATTAAAAGTGGTCTGCTTATCTTATCTACCAGAGTAGCATCGGGCTGTGAGGCTTTTGCCTCACCCCAGGTGTCACATGGATGATGTGACCTGTGGCCAGGCCACCAGGTACCAAGATGCTCAACACTTGCCTTTGTTCAGGTCTATTTGCATAGGATAAGCACAGCACCCAGCCTCTGTCTGTTACTCCCCATTCACACTCACAAGCCTTGTCCTTCACATTAGCACCTTAGGCAAATGTTTGAGACATTAACATACTGTCCAGACCCTTACACATGCCTGTTCTCCTTCACACCATGTCCTGTGCCTCTACTTCTCAAGGCCTCTTATCATACCAAGCCTGTATTTCTTTACACTACCTAGTTGGGTGTGCTAGGATTGTAAACCCATGATGGTAGCATAAAAAGATAAGGAAGCATAAAAAAAGTAGCTCTGGTTGATTAGAAGAATTGCTGTTGCAGCTAAACCAAGCAAACTAAAGCTTCAAGTAGGCCAAGAGAGCTCAGACAGAGCAGGCAACACAAGCTGCACTCTCAAGACCTTGCAAACTCACTACAAAGCCTGTAGCATGTTGCTTGCTACGGCAGTGCTGTGTTATAGGGCTGTGGGGACACAACAGGAGCAGACTGCTCTGTCCTTGAAAGGAGGTGGTTTTCCAGCAGGTCAGGACATGAAAACAGCTATGGGAAGGGCTTTCTCCAAAGCAGGGGGAAATCAGCAGGCAGCAGGTCAGGAGAGCAAACCCAAGAGCAGGTCCGAGATTGGGGGGTTGTTACAAATGTGGAGAGGGGGATTTATATGCAGTCCAGCCTCTCCCTGCTTATGTTTTCTGCTGGCACAGGGGGGAAACCAGCTCTCTTCGCAGAGCTCTTGTGCATGGCATTTCAGGTGTGTCACCTGCACTGTGAGCAGGTGTTCCTGTTCATGACACAGCTCTTGGAGCCGCAGGGCTGGGATGAGTAAGTTCACATGAAACCCATGGTCAGCAGCTATCTACACTCATACCTGCTGTACAGTGAGTGGGTTGGACTTGTCTGTATTTTTAGTTGAAAGATGACATTTTCTGAAAGCAAGTCCAGAATTTCCTCTGTGTGCCAGAATTTTTCACCTTCCCTGCCCATGTTCATTAATGCACCTACCATCTCCCTGTCTTGCTTTGTTTTAAAAGTACGTACTATATATATCCTGTTCTTCTGTGCAAGTGGCCTCACCTCCTAGGTCCAACTGGTTGCTGCTTCCCCATTTGTCAGCTGCACCCTGATATTTTACCCACTGGAGTGGCGTCTGGCTGCCCAATTCACTCTCTTATTTGCCCTCAGCTCTTATGGTCTGCTTTTGCAGAGGTGCTGCAGACCGTTGCGCCATTGAACTGACTTTGCAGTTTCTCAGCCATCTCTGTCCAGAGGGGCTGGGTGCTTCCTTTCGTTGCGGCACATTTCCTTCTCCTGCAGCGGCTCTGCTGAGATCCTCCTGTTGTCTGCCCGGCTTGCACACAGGGAGCTGGGCATCCCGGGACCCTCTGTGTGCCCTGTGACTTGCTTTGTCTCCAGTGGTTGTCCTGCCTGCCTCTGCTGTGCGTTGTGCCCTGCTCTGCACCATCCTCTTGGGTGGCTGCATGGAGATCTTTGGAGTAGAGAGAGGTGGCAATGCTGCAAGCATCAGCTGGGATTTTGCCTTTCTCTCTCTTCTTGTGGTTTGCAGAAGCAGTGCATGTCTGCTCTGAGCCTCTGCCCACCCTCTGCCCTTCACTGGCAATGGCTGAGGGATTGCAATGCTGATCTCAGCAGCAATAGCGGGTGGGGAGGGTAATGGCCATGGTTTCCTCCTGCTG